AAGTGACAGCTTTGGCTCCAAGCAGGCGTCTGCTCGGCTGCAAGAGTCCCTCATGACAAGTGGCAGACCCGGAAGAAGCTCCTGGCTCCTGGCATCAGATCTGCATAGCTCCAGCTGTTGCAGCCTATTGGGGAGTGAACCAATGGATGGAAGACCTCGCTTTCTCTCTGCCTCTCCTTCTCTGTGTAACTCTTTCAAGTAAATAAATAAATCTTTAAAGAAAAAAAAAAGGCAGCGGCCATCTGTGCCTGCGCGCCTCTCCCACAGCACAGCAGAGTGCCCAGGGGGGCAGCTGCCTGGCCAGGGATGGCCCCTCCCAGTGCCCTGGCATCTGGGCCCCTGGGAAGTCTGACTTCCACACTTCACTTCAGGGCCAAGGGAGTGCTGACATAGTTGGGGGAGCCTGGAGGTTGGTGGTGCCAGCAAGCGCTGGGGTCCCCAAGTCGCTGTGTGCACTTGTGTGAGCGAGACCCCAGCGTCTCCTGTGTCGAGCCTTGGACACTTGGGGCCCCCTGTGCCGCAGAGCGGCTGACAGGGTCTCAGCTAATGCCCTGTGCAATGCGCTTCCTACTGCGGGTCCTGGGGAAACCGTGCACACCTGCTGTGTGCCTTATCTTTCAGCTGGAGAAGGTAAGTGTTGGCTCCTGGGGAGTGGGCGTGGGGGAGGGGGAGGGGAAGGGGAGCCCCACCCTGCAGTTAGGAGAGAAGCCGCAGGCCCTGGCCACCTGCTGTCCTCGGGCTCCCACACAGTGCCCCACCTCCCCCCAGCAGCCCGGGGACAGGAAGGGCGACCTCGGTCTGGCCCTGCTGAGCAGCTCACCTGGCTCCCGCCGTGGGCTCTGTGGTTAGCATCTCTGGCAGCACACGGACATGCAGACTTTCTCTGAAAGTCGGGGTTTCTCTGAATCTCTGGGCCGCAGAATTCTGAGAAACCCGGCTCCGCGGCCCCGCTGGCTCATGTGCGCACCTGCCTGCTCAGCCACACTGCTGGGCCCTGGTGCTGCCCTGGCCTCCCGGGGGCGGACACGCAGAGGCCGCCACCCCCAGAGCTTGAGGCCACCCCAAATCCTGCCAGGCCCTTGCTGGAGGGTGGGGGCTCACCAGCGCCCCTCCCCCATGATGGGAAGTATGAGTCACTGCAGGTGACAGCCGGCCCAGGAGCTGGTGCTTACCAGACAGGACCCATGTGTGACAGTTCCTGGAAGTGACTGCCCTTGCAGGTGACCTCCCTTGCCACCCGTTTGGCCCCCGTCTCACTTCCCAGATGAGACAGAGGCCCTGGAGCCTGCCCACCTTGCCCAGGGGCCCCCGTGAGCTGGCTGAGGTGGCCACACAGTCTGGCACCCAGAGGCCGTCACTCAGCAGGGCTCCGCACTGGCGCCCGGCAGGCTCCCATGAACCAGGGTGGTCTCCTGGTCTCCCTCTTTCTCCAATCAGAGCTGGGCTGGTCCTTTCCCTAGGCGGGACATCTCGGGGAAGAACTCAAAGAATGACAGAGTTTGTGGAAAAACCTGGCACAGGCTGGTCCTTAAACCTGGGGACCCAGGCCCCCAGGTCACCTCCACACACTGCTCCCAAGTCCACTGCAAGGGAGGCTGGGAAATGTGGCGTAGCCCCTGGGGAGAGGGAGTGGCTTCCTGAAGAATCTGTGCCACGCCCTTCCTGCCAGAGTGATCTCCTCGCCTCACTGACTGGGCTGCTCCCCCCTGGGACCGCAAGCCACCCCCACCCACCCAGGACAGGGACCTCGGCTGCCTCGTTCCAGACACGTGCCCAGCCCCGTGCCCGGGGCCCTGCACACAGCAGGTGCTCACTAAATACATGCAGGCGAATGACTCGCTAAGGCCCGGGAAGGGAGGTGAAAACTGGACTGGGAGATGAATCCCTCCAGTGGGGGTGGGAAAGAGGTACAGTCCCAACACGGGTGAGCTCAGGGGAGAAAGTCACCCCGGCCACCTGGCCATCGTCCCCAAATGCAGCTTGAAAACATCACCATTTTTTCTGCTCGTGGCTCTGTGACTTGGGCAGGCATCGGGGTGCACACCTGGTCTCTGCTCTGTGCAGGTTGTCCGTGACAGACACCTGTGGGAAGGCTGATCTTGGCTCCCTGTCTGGGAGGGTCACACTCGCAGATTGGGTGGTCCCACTGGTCTGGGGGCTGCTCAGGGCAGTGGGCGCCGGAAGCTGCATGGAGGGAGGAGTCTGTGGGGACGCAGGAAGCTCTGTGGAGCCCCCGAGGTTCCCTCACCTAACCCAGCCTAATCCCTTCCCAAGAGCCCAGCTTTGGACCCCGCAACTGGATGAAGTCTCCACCCTGGATCCATTAGCTGGGGACCAAGCTGCCTTGGGGACACTCAAACGGATACCCCAACTACAGCAGGGCCAGAGGAGCCACTTGGACAGTGCTGCCGGTTTCTCCTCCCCCCACAGCCCATCGCAGCTTGGCCATGAAGCTGAGTGTCCCCAGCAGCTGCCGGGCTCCTGAAGGTAGGGGTGCCCTCCATTTTCCACTGGCTAAGGAATCAGGGCCGAGATTTGAGAGGCTTTGGATGGACGGAGTGCCCAAGAGTCTGGCAGGTGTTCGGAATCATCACTAGAGAGGTGTGAGCTGGGGCTGACGCAGGATTGGGAGGGAGCCTGTGGTCTCCCCGGCATGGCTGCTGCTGCCTTAGGGGTGCTCTGAGCACCCTGAGCCCAAGGCTGATGGGCACGGCACTCTGTATTCTCCAAAGGTGGCCACAGCAATACTTCCGGAACACGGCCCTCGCCAGCAACAAGTGGGTGTGTTCTTCCCCTTGGCCACCATGCTGAGTGAGGTGTGGCACAAACACTGTGAAACTTTCGGGGCTGGTTCATGGCTTCTCCCTGGTGCCCACACCTGCCTCCTTCCCGGCCCCCAAAATGAGCTCTTGGGGCACCACCCACGTGGTGAGGCCAGGTGGGTGTCTGTCTGACAACCCAAGCTAAGGTCCCAGCATCAACCATCAGACTGGCAAGCAAACGAGCCAGCCCTCAGCCTCTGGTCTTCTAGATAGAGCAGCCCTGCTGTGCCTTGGCTCAGCCCTGACCCACATAACCCATGAGTGTAGCACATGGTTGTTTTGTGGCACAACATCTGGGTGACTTGTCACGCAGCCACCCCAGTGGCTGATGACGTGTAATAAAGTGGCACACTGGACAGCGGCTCTATGGACAGGTGTCCAGTGGTGTCTCCCAGGATTCGGCCTGGCCACTGAAGCTGCCATTCATCGGGTGATAACAGGACAGCAGGGCAAGGGGTCCCGGGCAGAAGCAGCAGCAGGTGGATGGATAGCTTCAGCGGGAGGAAGGCCGGGCCCTGGAGCCCAGCCCCGTGGGGTGGTGCCAGGGGCCAGCTTCCATCTGGAGGGGTCAGAGGAGGCCTCTTGGATGGATCCAGGTGAGGGGTGGGCTGAGTAGAGGGGCAAGGCCATTGGCCAGGCCTGGCGAGTAGGCACAAGGCCTCCTCTGTGGTGAGGTGGGGAAGGGGCTGGACCAAGCCATGAGGTGGCCCAAGGATGGGAGTGTCTGCAGCAGTGGGGCTTGGTGTGGACAGCAGGGTGGCTGCAAGACCAGGGGCAGGCATAGCCAAGGCAGGAGGAGGGAGGGTGTCTGTGTGGAAGCCAAGGATGGTGTCGGCAGCGCTGGGGGTGACAGGGGGACCTTGCTGGCTGCACCCTGTGCAGAGTGACATCACTCGGACTGGCACCCTTCCCGTTAGAGCTGGGTGACTAAACCTTCGAGAGACATGGAGGGGTAGTGTGTGCTGCCAGGGGGCCTCAGGGGGCCTCGGGCTCCACCTAGCCTGGTGCACCCTGCTGAACACTGGGTGATCCAACAGCATCAAGTCTTTACTGGGGGGAGGTCCAGCCCCCCAACACAGCAAGTGCCTGTGGGAATCGCCACCTGCGGGGCTGTTTCCAGCACCGAGTGAGCAGGAAGTGGGCTGCAGGAGGGGATGGCTGACTCACACGGGGCCCCGCCCCGCCTCACCTCCGCCGCCTGCTGGAGCACTTCCTCTGCGCATGCGTGTACTCCTAATATAGAAACACGTGCCCTCCCAGCAGTGTGGGTGCGCCCAGCGCCTGCCCAGCCACACGCTGGGTTTGCCAGGGGGACAAGTGGGTGGAGGGTGACCCCGCCCCTCCCCCGGAGGCTGGTGTGTAGTTTCTGTCTCCAGGCCTTTCCCCCTTTGCACGAGAACTGCCCCTTCTCTGACCACAGGGTGGGGGCCCTAGTGCAGAGCTGCCACGCCCTTGCTGCTCGCCAGGGCCAGGGTGCAGGGGAGGCACTGGGAGGCCACCAGGCCCGAGTTTTGACAGCAGAACTTGTGGGGAGGGAAAACCCCCGCTGGCCTCAGGGCTCCACCCGAGCAACGGAGTCCCTACCCCCCCCCCCATCTTGTCATTTAGACCTGAGACAGAGGTGGTCTCTCCCCGCACCCCGAGCCCCACATTAGCCGGGTATGAGGCTACCAGAGAAGGCGGTGGCAATCCGTTGGGTGATTCCCCTGTGTGGCCTTGGTGGCCCAGCAGGCTGGGCGGAGCTGCCTCAAGGTGGGCATGGGCCTCTGGGAAGCCTCCAGGGTCCCTGGCCAGCAGCGGAAGGGATGGGACGCCACCACCTCCAGCGCTCTTCCAGGAGGAGGCTCTGTCTTTGAAGCTGCTCAGGGCTTCGCCGTGTGGTGGCTCTGTGCTCAGGGCCGGAGATGTGCCTGGTGTCCCACCCGCAAGACTCCCAGTGTCCCCAGCCTGCATGCAAGGAAGCCACTTGCCCCAGTCGGACAGGAGGGGCGGGGCTGAGTGGTCCGTGAGCCCTGGGCCAGGCCTGGCCCCTGAGTGGTGCAGGGAGGCCGGGCGGCAGGTGCTGAGCCCCAGTGGCCTCTGCTCCCAGGCCAGGCCCTGCCCATCGTCCAGGCCCAGCTGACCAGGGGCTGGTCAATGCCTTGTGTTCCCACCCCAGCCTGGAACGAGTCAAGCCACTTTCTCAGAGTCACATTAGTCTTTTATTATGTCATACGGAGAGGGCTCACTTTGCCAAAAGGATAAATCATTGCTTAAATCAACATGAGTTCTAGCATAAAGGCGGGTGAGAAAAAGCGACAGGATAGAAATGACGCAACCGAGTTCTCCATGAATCAAGTCAATTGTGCCACTGCGAGAAAAATTATGACGACAATTTAACATCAACATGGTCTCCAGCCTGTTTACATGAACTTGATGCTTCTCCTCAACGTCGTAAAGAGGGAGCAAACCGAAGCCTGGCCTGCACGCGGGAGGCGGCCTTGCTGTTGCCACCTGTATCCCGCAGCCTCAGCCCTGCTCCGGGGCTCCCGGGCCCTGCTCCGCGGGTGCTGTCTGCAGGCGAGGAGGGCCCCAAGTCCTCCATACACACTCCTGTTCCAGAAGGGAGCGCTGGGGGCAGGTCCTTACAACAACAGTAACAGGAAAAGAACAATAATAAACGCGGGTCACCTAGGGTAGGTCGGCTCTGGAGACAGCGTCACTGTCCCAGCGTCTTCGTGTGCAAGGCGGGTCCCGCGAGGCTGGGGCTCATTTGCAGGGACACGTTCACGCGTTTGGCAGTAACGTTCTTGCTTTGCAGGCAACGGTTAGCAGGGGTCATCTTTGGAAGAATAATCCAGTATAGTTACATGTAAAGCATTATCTAGCCCCTTGGCAGACACGTAATGTAGGCAAAGCAGTAACTGACTGTCTCTAGCCTGTAGCTCTCGCATGTACTGCACAGGGAAATCTTAACACGAATTTCCAATCGGATCACACAGGAATGTAGGAAGCACACAGGGGCATGTATAAAAAAAAAGGAGATGACAACGGGAGTTCATCTAAATGGTACATGTATAAAATGTTCAACTGCTAATAATCAAAAAAAATCAAAACACAAAAAGGAATCCACTGATTACCACATTTGTTAGAGAAAAACAAAAAGGTTTTGTATATCCAGGATTTAAAAAATGTGCAATTAAAAAAAACCCAAGTACCTGAAAAAAATAATAAAAAGGAACATACATTCTTTAATAGACTGTAACGAATACAAAATGCAAATAATGTTCAACTCTGAATAAAAGAAAGTCACTTAGGAGAGAGACAGTAACACGATTCTCCAGCCCCGTGGCCCGATGGGCATTTGGGTGTGGCACTGCCTGTGCCCGCTGCCCTGTCCTGCTTCTTTCCCTGGGGAGGGGTGGGCCAGTGGGCCCCGCAGCAGCCACACCTCCACCTCTGAGAACCCGCACCTATCGGGTGGCGTCGGCCCAGAAGTGCAAGAGGAGGGCCCGCCCCTTGGCTGGGGACTGGGGGCAGGCCTGGGCGATTCTGTGACTCCTGAACACCCACCGGCGACAGGGCCTGCTTGGCCTGGGGGGTGCCAGTGCTGCAGCCCTGCCCTCCTCACCTAGCAGGGAAAACACCAGCGCCTCCAAAGCCAAGTCCTGTGTCGCTCCCCCTCTTCGCGGAGGAACGACACAGGACCCTGCGCTGTTCTTTTGTCTGCTCGGCCCTCCCCGGGTTTGCTGCTGGTCCTTCCCGGGTTGGCTACCGTCCCTTCCACCTCCGTGGAAGGGCGGTGCCCCCTGCCACTTTCCCCACTTCCGCGGGGGAGCGGCACACCACCGGCCAGCTCTCTCGGGGGCTGCTCAGATGTTCCTCAGGTGTTCCTGGTGCATGTTGTCTCTCTCCTCCTTTATAGTCCTCTTCCACCAATCCCAACTCTGCTACCCACACGCCGAGTACGCTGCTCTCCTCCAATCAGGAGCAGGATCAGCTCCTGCAGGTCATCACTCAAGTTGGCGAGAGGCAGCTGCGTAGAAGTTGTTACTCCCTTCTCAGCGCCATATTGTGGGAGAGCAGATGCATAGAATAAGTCTTAATTCCAGTAACAGTCTAGTCTGAGTTGCTCCCCACAGTCCTGTGTGAGAAAAGTAGCCCTTGGCCGACCCTGCGTAGGGGTGAGGCTGCTCACCATATGCGACCCTGGCACTTACCAAGTGTGCTGCAGTGGATAAACAACACTGGCAGCAACTTCCTCGCGCCCTGCTGAGCGACCGCCCAGCCCGGGAAGGCCACGCAGCCCCGGCACCTAGCAAAGCAGTGATATGCTAGGTCCCAAGAACAGGCGGCGGCGCCGAGCGGAGACCCATGCAGGACCTCCGGCGTCCCGTCACCATTGCATCTGCCAGGAGAGACATCGGCGGGCAGCAGTGGGAGGGATGCTTTTCCTTCCACTGCGCCGAGGCCTTGCATCCTCACTTGGTATCCACCGCGCCGAGGCCTTGCATCTTCCCCGCCAAGGCCCAAAGAGCCAGATGCCCTGGTACGGGGCACGACAGCGCCCCCTGCAGTCACCACCTGTCCCCGCAGGAACACCTGCTCTGGCAGCAGGGCGGGAGCGGCCTGCTCAGCGGGAATCAGCCCATGGGACTCTGTGTGCATCACTAAGCCAGCGTGCAGCAGGGCCTCTTTAATCTGTGCAGTGCTGAAGGCGCCAGCCTGTCAGACCTGCTCATGGCCACGGTGCCCGGGATGCAGAGCCCACAGCTGGGCACAGGCCCCGGGACTCCTACGCTTGGCTCCCAGCAAGGGAAGGGGCTGTGTGGGGATCCTGCCTCCCCCGAACATCTAGAACATTCTCTAGGAAGCCCTGCTCCGCACAGAAGGGATGCCGGGTTGATTCCCTGTCACTGCTACCTTAAAGACAATGGGGGGACTCCGACGGGGTGGGAATGAACTTGGGTTTTTCCCTTGCTTCTTACTCGACAGGTAAATGCAGTCCCCAAACTAGAGAAACGTGACCAGCAAACAGACTGAGAGCAGCTTCTCTGGCAAAGTCGGGGTCACGTTTTCCTTCCAGGACGGTAAGGTCACTACAGCTTTGAGATCAGTGCTGCAAAGCCTTGCTTAAAGACGCCTTGCTTTCCGGCTGTGAGAGATTTCAAAAGGTGCATACAATTGTTTTAAGGAGGAACCACGATGACCAAAATATACTTGGCCCAAGGACTGGAAACTTCTTCTCCAACAAACCAAAACTCTACCACCACAGCACACCTCAAGATGATTCCTCAGTGTAGACCCTGCTTCTAAAGTCATTTTAAGTTTCAGAGGGCAGCAATGGGGCTTCCCAGCGCACGCCTCGGCTCGTTCTAGTTTATTCTATCGGACTTGGCTCTGCTGTGCCATTTCCCAAGGCAGGGATGAAGTGGGCTGAGACACAGATTCCCACAGGGAAAGATTTCCTGATACCAACCAACATTCCTGTGCCCGAGGGAAGATCTGAAACCAACTCGTCTTCCCCGGAAACGTAACAGGTGGAGGTGGCGACTGCCTGGTTGGGGAGGGGGGAGAGAGGACAAGAGATTCTAACTGTGTTTTCCTGACAGTGAGCGTGATCCTGGGTGTGGCTCGGCTCTGACTCAGAGCAAAGGTGAGGTGGGGGTTAGGTGACAGGCCGGAAAGTCCTGTCTGCATCTTGGTGACCTGAAGTCTGCGTGCTTCGTGGCCATGTTGCTTCTCTCTAAAGGGTTCCAGAGGGCTGGGCCAACGGCAGTTGCATGATAGGAAAGAAGCGTTGGTTTCAGAGGGGTCTCCCCAGGGGGAGCCGGGGCTGGTGAGGGGGCGGCCGGGGGCCTGTGAGGCAGGACTGGGCACTGCGCTCAGATGTCCAGGGGGCTCACAATGGTGAAGCCGGAGTCCTTGCTGCTGTCATCGTCGGGGCTGGAGCTGGGGTTGCTGGAGGAAGCAGAGGCTGTGCCCATCAGCGGGTCTGAGAGGACCAGAGGGGAGCAGGCTGGGGCCTGGCTTCTTCCCACTGTGCTTCTGAGGGTGCGAAGAGGCTGGGCCTGGCCCGAGGAGGGCCCCTTGGCGCTGCCCGCCTCGTCTTCTTTAGAAACCAGGATGAAGTCGTCGGAACTGCCTCCATCTGCACGCCCGGGCATCTCGGAAGAGGCCTGTGAAGCAGTTGGAAGGTCAGGTGGTGAGAGGAGCAACCGCAGAGAACCGCGCGGGGGCCCTGTGGGTGGACAGCGTCGCGTCCGGAGATTCAGGGTGCACCTGCTGCACGGAGCCCAGAGCCAGCAGGTGTGGAACCTTTAATTCTCTCATCTGTGAAACGGGGGGACCGTGCCTCCCTCCCAGGGTGGTCGCGGTGCCGTGAGTGCAGGGAGGTGAATCGGACGCTGGGTCTGCACTGACTTTGCTCTGGGGGCCCGCTGTACTGCAGCCCGGAGATGTGTGATGGCGCGCTCATCCTGTGCGTGACCGTGGGGCCTCCTGGGGTAACAGTGCTCACTGGCAGTTTGACAACTCAGCATGGCAACTGGAAAGTGTAACAGCAGAAAGTCCAGAGCTAGGACTGAGGTAGTCTACAATTCTTTTCCTCTCTTTCAAGCAACCAGGAGTGGCTTCTTATTTTTTAATGTAAAGAACTTCCATAGCAAAGGCTCTGGGTGAGCAAAGCCAGAGTCTGACCACGGATGTCCTGTGCCACGTGGTGGCAAGAACAGGGCACCCATGGGTGATGTAAGTGGACGCTGGGCCCATGCTCGCCTCCCTGACCCCACTGCCTACTCTCTACATGATGGCGCTAATGCGGGGTCTGAAGTTGAAAGGAGCCCCTTGGCCACAAGTGTCCCCAGGCCTGCTGGCTGGCATGGCCTAGGCCTCCTGTGGGCTGTGTGCAGAGTCTGGCCTCTTGCTCTGAGTAACAGGCCCCTGCCTGAACCTCACATCTTTCCTGGTGACATGGCTGGGGTAGGGGGTGGGGTGAGGTGGCTAAATAATGGCTCAGGTGTCTTTGGTGAACTGATACAGGACTGCCTGAGCACCCCAGTCCTGGAACAACCATCACAAATTCGAAAGCTGTTCATATTCCATTTCTACATCAGCTGCCACAGAAGTGAGGAGAAATGGTAGAAGGGGTGTGGCTCCAGGTGGTGCCCAGGCTGTTTGCTTAGGACTGATGTTTCTGGAGCTGCAAGTCAGAAACCAGCTTTGTCGCCATTACTGTCCTGTTTAAGTCATACCGCTCAGAGCTGAGCCACCGTTGGGGAGCAGGCCCCTCCCCGGCCCGACCACTGGGGAACAGAGGGCCTCCGGCTCCCCTCCCGTCTCCCGAGTGTGGACACCGTGTTTATGTGGCTGCTCTGTGGACAAGAACACCCGGGTCTCTCCCGGCAGCGCAGGGCTCCCGGCTGGAATGCGCTTGCGGGAGTTTATCTCGGGTTGAAGACGGGCGTGTACACTGGCACCCCATCTGTAGAGCGGTGCCTCTACCACAGAGAGCACACGGCCACCCACAGGGAGGACGCTGGCAAGACTGCACGGGAGAGAAGCTCCAGAGCGCGGGTTGAGAAGGAAGTACCTGACGGTACTCTAATTATCTGGCACGTTTCTGCCCAGTTCTCAGACAAAGGGTCACAGCCTAGCTGAGGCAAAGTGAATTAGAGCTGACAGGGCATCAGCAACCATTTTCTTTAATGAACCCTTTTGCCCTGCCCCTTAACAGTACAGATCAAGAGAGAAGTCCAGACCAAGGCCCGACAGCTTGGCCAACTCACAAACCACATTCAAGGACCCTACTCTTCCAGGCTCCCACCTAAACTTCCTTCCTAGACTCAGAGATGATTTCTGCATGGATTTTCACAGCAGCCGTAGCCCTGCCAGGGCCACTCACATCCCTTACAGAGATTTCCTTACTGCTAGTCCTCTCTTCTTGCCCAACACAGGGACACCTGCACAATGAGCAAAGGCTGTCAACCTGAAACCGGTCAGGACCGTCAACATGCAAGGGATCTTCACAAAGCTCACAGAAAATGTATACTACGAAAAAACCATGCATGGATTTCAAAATTCTGGGACCAAAATACTCATCTTTTAATTACACTTCGTGGAAACTTTTTCAAGTCCTCTCCCCCGCATTCCCTTCCTTCCGTCTGACCGTCTCCCCAAGGCAGCTCATGTTTCAGCTTGGGCTCAGGATCAGGGTGGGAGTGGGTGAGCCCACGTGCAGACCAGCACTGGGCAGCCCAGGACCCCCAACTACATGTGGCTGCTGTGACTGAACAACTGAATCTTCTAGTTCTATTAAGACGTGTAGATAGAATTTTTCAGTGGACACATGCAGCTAATGGCTATACTATCAGACAATACACAGATAAAAGCATGCGGCCCGAGTCCCAGGAAGCTGCCGAATGCATCCAGGGTCCCGCAAGGTCCGGTCTTCCACTGCGTACGCTCATCAGAAAGTTTCCAAAGGAGCGTGTGGAGGACAGACACTGGGCTGGGAGCGATGCGGAGTGGCTTTTTCCACTCCCAGTATACACTTTCCCATGCCTGCTGTTTTGCTAACCTGCTGACAGCCATGGGGATGGGGTAGAGAAGGGGAACCCTTGTGGGTCCCTCAGCCCAGGCAGGGGTGACCCGGTTTCAGAAGGGCTCAGGACGCTGTGCGGGGTGAGGCCCGGCTGGAACACGGGCGCCGTCTACTTCATCCCTCATGCAGCTCGGGGCCAGCTCATTCTGGGCACGCACACGGGGGTGCACTAGGGCAGCGGTGGGAAGCGGTAGCTTGTGACAAACAGGAAATCCAGGCAGGACAATTGCAAAGCACAGTCAAGAACACGTAACTCGGGCAGATTCACTAGTGTGCCCAAAAGGTCTTTTTCTGTAGTGAGTTTATATACTCTACAACCACGCTCCAGTTTTAAATAAACCTGCTGATTAAAAATGGTGGTGGGTGGGTCCGCGCACACACCAACATTTAAGATTCATTTATGAGTCAGTGATGACTGAAAAACACAACACCTGTGCGGCGGGGGGCTTGGGAGGAAGCTGCCACACTGCACTCGCAATGTCAGCGCTGCACGCGCAGGGCTCCTCGTGCCGACTCAAAGCCCTTATACAGCTCCAAGACGTAGCTACCCAGAGTTCTCTCTTGTTGCAGAGTTCCCTAACAATGGAAAATTCCGTAGCCGGAGGCTAGCCTTTGAGGAAGTGGCTTCCATGAGATCTGGCTGGCGTTCCTTCTCCGGATGGAACTTTGTAAGCTGATCTCTAAAAAATGTGGCCGGGAGTCTAACATACAGGCGGGAAGCGAGCAAGCCGTCATCTTCTCTGACCTACGTGTAGTGGGGCAGCTGGAGGAGCTGAAACTCACCGGGCTGGGGCTGGGCCAGGGACCCTGACAGCCAGTGCTAGGCGAGCTGGCTGCCCACTGCCTGGCCAGCCAGCGGCCTCTCTGGCCTTCGTATTCCTCACCCGTAAAACCAGCAGACGCACCAAACACGTGAGAAAGCACTAAGATCCTCCCAGCTGGAAACCGTGTGCTCTGTTAGGATAAATCACTCACAGCTGGGACACCCGAGAGCACAGCCCAGAAGCGCTGCACCTGGCCTTGGCCTGCCTCTGTATGGCCCCGTGCTAGGAGTGATTTCTACAATTTTAAAGGGATGTAAAACCAAACCCCGAAGAAAAACAAAGAACGGGTGACAGAGGTGGCCGTATGTGGCCTGCGAACCCCAACACACTTGCTAGCTGGTCCTTTTATAGAAATGACCGACCGCTGGGCCTTGCCTTAGGGGACCTCACTGTGAGGACAACAAAGGCGGTGTCGAGAAGGGCTCTGGCCAATGAGATCCACTCCAGACAGCCTTAGGAAAACGTGCACGGGACTTCCTGTGCTTAGGGGGATGCAGGCCCCCGCGGGGAGTATCTGACCAAAACCCGCGCCGAGACCTGGCTTCCCACCTACCTGCTTAGAGGCCCCAGGCCCCGGGCCGCTGTGGTCCTGGCCGCTGGAGCAGTAGTGGTCGTCGGCGATGGTGATCTGCTCGTTCTCCTCCGCCTCCAGCTGGCTCTGGTTGAAACGCAGGGAGCCTTTCAGGATGTCTTTGATCTGTTTGCAAATAGGAAGGAAATAAAGGAAAAAGAGGAGTGAGTTTGTGAGTGCTAGGTAAACCAGGTAAACCTCCCATACTTTTAGACCACCTTGCACTGACCATTTTTAAATGCTATGGATGCTAGCATTTTACCGTAAGAAATACTGGAGGGAAAAAAAAATCCAACCTTGTCAAAGCTGCTGACTTAGCAATGAGCAAGGTCAACGTGAAGGCACTGACGGCCAGGTTCTCACAGGGTCAGACGTGGGTGCCACACCCTAGGCAGTTACTTTAGCACCGGTGGCCTGCACACCCAACCCCGCCCAACAGCCTGGAGTGCCGGGGCGGCCCCATCCCAGCTGCGCATGTCTGGAGCAGCACACTCTCGTTCAGGGGTATCTACGGCCCATTCAGATCTGTCAGGGCAGGGGCAGGGTGAGGTCTGAGGCCAGCTGAGGCCACAACTTGTGCTCCGAGGAGATGCTGGGCCCCAGCACACCTGCCCTGGGTTAGGGACACACAGAACGGGTTTGGTGGAGGCAGGGGTAGTGTGGGTCATGGGAACCCCATGTGGGTTGCGTGTTGTCAGCCGTGATCGCTGGAGAAGCAGAGGCCTAAGGAGTGGGGATTCAGCAGGGGTCCTGTCTGGGATCCTGGTCCCCACGCCCTGGGGGCCCCTCCCACAGCAGGCACTGAGCGGGCAGCCTGGGGGGGGGGGCCCAAAGCAGCAGTGTCCCCGGGGTGCACGTACCTGCTTCAGTCCCGCCAAGGAAACCAGAATCTGATCTTCTTTTTCCAAATTTTCTTGCAATATCACATCTTGAATATTTACTGAAAGCAGAAGGACAACATTCTGTGACTGAAGCTCTGGGTCTAATGTTTGGCTGAGCGTCCCCACCACGAGTCCCACCAGCCGTGCTCTGCCAGCGGGAGCTGCGGGTGGAGCAGAGAGCGCAGCCGTGGGCCTGGGCCGCGCAGCCTCCCCGCCAACATTAAGCTGCGACCATGGCAGGCGTGGCTGCGCTCGCTGGGGGGTGGCTGCAGTGCCCAGCTGCCCTTAGGGTGCACGGGCGAGGGGCGCTTCCAGAGGAAGGGCCGTCTCACCCCCTCCCCGACCAGGAACTGAACTTCATAGAGACGGTCTCTAAGGACTAAGAGCAGTAAAACACGCTGCCACGTCAGGAAAATGCGAGGTCAGGTTGTCCCTGGCGGACGCCGCCTGTGGAGTGCACAGGGGCTCATTCCTCCAAGCCACCTTCCGACCCTTGGGCGCCCCCACAAACACGGCCAACCCAGTGAGGCGCAGTCCGCTGCAGGTGCCGGTGCACAGGACCCTACAGGGCTGGGGCTCACGCAGTCACAGAAGCAGTGGGGAAGGAGGGTGAGACCCCGCCCTGCGGCGGGTGTGGGAGGGCTTAAGGAAGACAGTTTAATAAAAACGCTGACGGGTGCAATGATTTGAGAAGCAAGATGGTAAACAGGTGCACACTCCATTAACTGTTCTGCTTTCTTATTTTCTATCAGTTTTGAAAAAAAAGTTCCCACTTGTAATGTCTTACAAGCTACTATATATATATATATATTAAGATTTGTTTATTTGAAAGTCAGAGTTACACAGAGAGGAGCAGCAGAGAGAGAGAGAGAGAGAGAGAGAGGTCTACCATCCTCTGGTTCACTCCCCAATTGGCCACAATGGCTGGAGTTATGCCGATCTGAAGCCAGGAGCCAGGAGCTTTCTCTGGGTCTCCCATGCAGGTTCAGGGACCCAAGGACTTGGGCCATCTTCCACTGCCTTCCCAGGCCACAGCAGAGAGCTGGATCAGAAGTGGAGCAGCTGGGCCTTGAAGCGGCGCCCATAGGGGCTGCCGGCACTGCAGGTAGCGGCTTTACCCACTATGCCACAGCGCCGGCCCCTTTGCTACTGTATTCTTAGATGTTCACTCAGCTGAGCTGCTGCAGTCTCCGCCCGGGCCTGCTGGACTCCACGGCTGCTCTTGCACCTCCCGGCCCTTACGTCGCCCGGGGTTGCTCAGCGCCTCCCGGAGGTAGACACAGAGCCAGCACACCCTGTCCTGCTAGCCCAGGAAGAGCGACAGCCCCCCTGACTGTCAGCTGTCTGCTCCAGTGCTGCCCCTCAGAGCGGCCTCGTGCCCACTCAGACGAACGCAGCCCCCAAGTCACTCTGTGGTCTCTGCCACATCGTCTGCTGTGCTGTGGTTGGGAGCCTTGTCATTGGCTGGCACCTGCTGGCTCGTTCATTATCCTTCTCCCGCTGATGGGACAGAAGTTCCAAGACATTCTTGCACTCAGGATGTTTGCTGTCCGGCCTTACAATAATTCCTGGTGCACTAACACGGTTAAGGGTGCCTTAGTGCCTGAACGAATGGAAAACACTCTCGGAACTTGAGTTTCAAAACACGGCCCTTCTGAATTTTTCCAAAAAGTCTTTCCAGTGAGGAGCAAGGCGAAGACTGACACTGTCCACATGCTGCTGCCTGACAGCTCACTGGAATCTTCCAGCGGAACAGGTCCCGAGCCCAGGCCGCCAGGGCCCGTCCCCGTGGCACACGGCCGCCGCAGCAGCTCCTGCTGCTCAGAGACCCTCACTACAGTTTTTGGCAATAGCTGGGCCTGTGCCAAGGCACGACTGCAAGTTGAATGGGAATGGAATAGACACAATCAGAATGTTTTTGGTTTCCTTAAAAGCCCTGTAACAACCTGTTCCCTCTCAATAAAAAAAACAAAACCAAATCTACTCAACAAGGTACTAACAACAACCAACTGCAGGAAATGGACAAAACCCAGAGCTGCAGGTCTTTGCGAGGATTGAGAACGGCCACCTTTAGTCTGTCCGACTGCTGTGGCTTAAGAGACAGAGTGGAGAAATTACCTGCGGGCATTTGCTCAGACAAGATGGTTAACCTCTGAGAGACCCAGCTGCCTTCAACTGCCAAGTTCAAACCCCTGGACTGCCACGGCAGGAATGGAACCTTACAGTCGGATTTCTGATCACCTGAGTTTGGAGACGCAGATTTCCTGCGTGAGAACTTACAAAGATGCTGCCACGCTGTGTGAAAGCCCACGTCCCAGGGGTCCCAGCCACCTTCTGTGGGACGCCCTGTTGGGCTGGGAGCCTCCCAGGGTGGGCTAAGAAGGAGTGGGCATGAGGACAACAGACATCAAGGTGTGTTGGGAGCACGGGACACAGACAGCTCAAGGCTTAAGTGGGAAGAACGTTCCGTGCCCCGAAGTTCCTTCTGCAGGCACTGTCTCTGGACCAGCGGGGTCCTCACTCCCGCACCAGCTCTCAGGTAGCAGGCGGTGGGGGCTACCTCACCCCCTGCTCCTCTCCTTCCTCACAGGCCCACCTCCACTGGATTCAAGGCAGCACTGGGCGGTCCTCTTGCCACAGACGAGGTTGGCCACGTGACACGAGCCTGGCTGAGGCGCCAGGAAGCCCCTGGAAGGCACTGCTGAGCAGTGCCTTGGCCGGCGGGGGTCAGGGACGCTGACTCAGCACCTGCCTTTGGTCTCTGCTCTTGCCCCTCCTCCTGCCCGAAATGCAGGCCGGGAGCTCCGCAGGTCATCTTGCAAGCACGTGGTTGAAGACCACAGCATAAGAAGGAGCCAAGAGCGCATCATAGAGCTGCTGGCCCTGACTGGACCGCCTACCTCTGGGCCTTGTTTATTTGGGAAAAAAAAAAAAAAAAAAAAAAAAAACCTCTGGATTTGTTTACGCTGCCATTGTCTGCGGCTGTAGGAACAGCCCCCTGGGGTTGCGGTAACAAAGTTCCATACCGGAGGCTCCAAACACAGCCGAGTGTTCCCCTGCAGTTCTGTGGGCTGCAGGGTTTCCTTGCCGCTGGGCGCTAGGGAAGAATCCTTCCTTGCCTCCCTCCAGCCACCGTGGTGCGCCTTGGCTTTTAGGTATACCACTCCAGGTCGGCCTCCGCCAACAGGAGGTCTGCGTCCGAACTTCCCTCTTCTTCTAAGGCACTGTCACTGGCTGGGAACTCCACCCCAATCCAGGGTAGCCTCATCTTTAGTGGGTTACATCCACAAAAACCCTATTTGCAAATAAGGTCCCAGTCCCAGGGTCCAGGTGGACATGGATTTTTGGTAGACAATATCTGACCCAGTACAGCAGTCACACTGCCTATCTGTTACATGGGTGAAACCACCCAGTTCCTCCATGAAGGGTGAGCAGCCCCAACAGTCTTCTCCTGCATGCAGAACACAATGTCAAGGTCTAGGTTGGCTCCAGCCTGAGGTACACTGCAGCTGGCCAGGACCCAGTGCACATGAGGTGCACCCAGGTAAGGAGAAGTGCCCATAGCTCTGTAGTGTGGCCCATGGTGCAGCCTGCCTGGCAAGTCTCTGACCTTATCACATTTTAGGACTGATAACCAGGACCATCTCCCCTGAAAGCCCACATACACAAGAAATGTTCACTTAATATCAAGGATAAAGCTCTATTTTTAAAAAAGATTTATTTGAAAGGCAGAGTTAGAGAGAAAGAGTGAGAGAGACAGGGGGAGAGAGAGAGAGAGGTCTTCTTTCTGCTGGTTCACTCATCAAATGGCTGCAACAGCTGGAGCTAGGCCAGGCCGAAGCCTGGAGCCAGGAGCCCCTTCCAAGTCTCCCACATGGGTACAGGGGCCCAAGCACTTGGGTTATCTTTCACGGCTTTCCCAGGCACATAAGCAGGGAGCTGGATTGGAGGTGGAGCAGCCAGGACTTGAACTGGCCCATACGGGACGCTGGCATTGTAGGCAGTGGCTTTACCCACTACGCCATAGCGCTGGCCCGAAAGCTCCACTTTAAACAACTAAGGTGACTAAGTTCACTTTAAGAAATCCAGGGAATAGAAAAGCAAATGAAAACAAAAGGTACCTTCAAAGGCTGAGAAATGTTTTGAATATAAGAATTTTCATTTTAATGAAAGAGTACTTGGGGCTGGTACTGTGGTGTAGAGGGTAAAGCTGCTTCCCCTCCTGCAGTGCCAGCATCCCATACAGGTGCCAGTTCGAGCTCCAGCTGCTCCACTTCGGATCCAGCTCTCCGCTGTGGCCTGGGAAAGCAGTGGAGGATGGCCCAAGTCCTTGGGCCCCTGCACCCGTGTGGGAGACCCAGAGGATGCTCCTGGCTCCTGGCTTCGGATCAGTGCAGCTCTGGCTGTTGTTGCCATCTGGGGAGTGAACCAGCGGATGGAAGACCTCTCTCTCTCTCTCTCTCTCTCTCTCTCTGCCTCTCCTTCTCTCTAACTTTGCCTTTCAAATAAATAAATAAATCTTAAAAATAAAAAAGAGTGCTGACCATGTAAGCCCTTTGCCTTTGCCTAGCCAGTTCCACTAGCATGGACAACCATTCTGCTGACATGTAGAAACTCCTGCTAATCAGCCTACTGTGTTGTAAGGAAGCTGCATCTGAAACTATAAAAATAGCAAAACACAATACCTTTTCATGCCGTAAAATATTAAAGGCAGAAACATGAAATGTTTAACTTTCTATGCACAGTTCTCCTCATGGCAAAAGACAGAACAAATGATGCAACACTGGCTCAGTCTGTTCCTGTGAAAGGAAGATTACATCGTACGATTCTGCCCACTTCGGTCCTGTATGTTACACAGACTGGAGGTCTGAAACGCAGGGGAAAGACACAAGGAGCCACGTCTGTGCCAATCACACACCAGTCTCATCCGCATCACAGTCCCACGGTGACTCCACTGCTTTGAAAGAAATGTCAAGGCCACAGGCGCAGATCTCTAACTTGAAAGGTAGTGGAAATGGCACAAAAATTACCTTTTCAATTGCTTGAAAATGCTGTTTTT